TTTATTAACAAGCTTTTTTTTTGTTGTTTGCAAATTGTCAATTTTATAAAAATAAAAAAAGGAAGATGTCTGAAGAACAAAAAAAATTCTAAGCAAATATGTTACAGATCAGATAATTGATCTACTTAATGAAAAAATTGAAAAAAGTAATATACGTTTTTATCTGAAAAATAAAAGAAGACGAAAGCATTTGTTACTAACATACATTAAAAAAAACGAAAAGAACCTTGTACCTAAGGTACCGAATTACTTAGAAACAACCAATTTGATGCCGGATACCATATTTTTTGAACATTTCAGGATGGAGCGCGATTGTTTTGTAGTAAGTTTGTTTTGTAGTAAATTTTTTTTTTCTAGCTTTCTATGAAAGAAAAATATAAATTATTAAATGTACAAAACAAAAATTGCATAAATTTACCCCATTAATTCTTCAATATCCGACATTTTTCTATTTTTCTAATTTTCACTTTTATTGCAGTATTAAAAAAAAATCTTTAAAATTGCCTAAGAACTTAAAGCTCAATCGTATTTTCGAACAAGCTTTTTTTGCACGAGAACATTATCGAACATGCTACTTTTACAGATTTTGCAGATTCGATTTATCGAACGTGCTTTACATTCAGAACTAAGTTAGAACTGAATTATCGAAAAAGCCCGAAAAATACTTCATACTACAGCTGATTTTACAAGAGAAAACTGAAGGAAGAAGGCGTGTGGGAACAGAGCAGATGTCTTGGTTCAAAAACATCAGGCAATGTACTGAAGAAATACAAGAATGGATACGTAGCAGAAGAAAAAGAAGATAGAAAAATTTGGCCAAGAAATGTGGTGAACTTTGAAATTTTGTTATTGTGTGCAAAGATTAGCGAATAAAATGAAATGCTGACAATTCTTGAGATGAAATGCTGACGAGTTGGCCAGCTCAAGGAGTTCCATAATAGTAGTTAAATGCCGTTTAAACATTAATTTTTTGTGTACAAATTTTCAATAATCATTTGTTTGAGTTGTCTTAGGTTATGATCAGTAAAACTTGAATTCAAATTTCAACAAAATTATTTTTCTCCAAAAATTATTCAAATCTACATTAATAGTCACATACATTTTAATTTTAATTAATAGAAGATATAAACAAACAATTCTCTTTCATATTATTTTATTTTATAGCCAATAATTTGATATTTTATTAAAAAATATTTTAGATTTTAAATTATCAATGCTTGATTCTAAATTGGAAACAAACAGTTTTGGGGCAAAAAAAAAAGCTTCCCATTTACAGCAATATAATAAAATATTATTCTTACAGGGTTATCTATGATCATCTAATTTAAATATAGAAATTTTATTTATTTTATAACAGTTTGTTTACTAAAAGTGTCATTAAATTTTTTAATTCTAACCGTTTAAGTTACAATAATTTTTATCGTCATCTTGTGACCTTCATTTTACTTTTTAAAATGGTATCATCATGATAAGGTAACTTTCAATTGATGGTAATAAAATACAAAAATATAATAAAAATGAAGAAGAAACAAGCATTTTTTCTTAACCTTTTATTATGTGAATCTTCATCACACATATGCGTATACATATATATATATATAAAAGTTTTATTTCTCAAGGGCAAAAAACTTGTAAGTGTTAATTTTTTTCTTCCAAATTTAGATTTATTTCGAGAAGGGCAATCCAAAAGTATAAGTGAAATTGTTATAATTGTAGAGATTTGAAAATTGTATGATATACTTGTATGATTGTATGTAACACACGTTTTCAACAATATTGTGACGGAATTATTCAAAAAATTCTTCACAATTTTGTAATTCGATACTAATAAATTCGATTATAAATAACTTTTTTCCCTAACATTCTACCCTACCTTTCTTATCATTCTTTTCTCTACACCAGTCTTAATATGGACAATTCACTTTGAACTTACCGTTTTATATTTATAATCAAACCGAACACACTATATGAAGGCTAGGTAATTGGAAAACGGAATGAAAATAAAAAATTGAATATCAATTTTAGAAATTTGAACTATCGTGAATTAGAGTTTTATAATTTCCGCGGTACACTATATTGAAATCGCTCGTCACAATATCATCAATTGTGCTGACCAAACATACCCTGTCATGTATTCTAAAATAACTCCCAAATATTCTTGCATAGTTCCACTTCACTCTTATATATTATTGCTTTAAATTGTTACTGGTCCACCTATATTGCTTCCTATTATAACCTTATTCCGTTCACATCTATTGTGTTAGAAAAATTTGGATTGACCTTTCTTCATGCATCTATTTAATCACATTAATTGTGTTACTCATAATTCCTATTATTTTGTATTTTTCGTTTTTCTAAGAAATTGGTAAATAATAATAATTCAATAGTAATAAAACTTAAATAATTTATCCAAAAAGAAAAAAATTTATCAAAAAAAAAACCCGAAAAAGAAAAAAAAAATGCCACCTACAGACTGCAAAAATTTTCGCATAACATTTGCATCACAATTAGAAATTAGTGTCGTGCACATTATGAAAAGACAAAAAAACCAAAAAAAAAAAATTGAAAGAGAGTGTTAAAGGTGTCATGGTGTCAACTTTTTTTTTTCATTCATTCAATTACCATCTTTCCTTTTTTACTATTTAAAAAAAAATTTTCGATTGCGCGTGTTTTTTTTTTCTTTCCATTTTTTTTTTCTTTATTATCGATGAGCTAAAAAACCCATTAATTTACGATCAAAATTAACTGAATATCGGTAACATCTTCATATATAATACTTATTATTATGAGATTATGGTAATAATGAACACTCTGTTACAAGATCTTACCAAATTACCTAGAGACTTAAATTGGTTAAAAGAAAAAAAATCAAAAATTCGAAGATAATTTATTGCAACTTGACAACAAAAAATTATCGAAATCGAAAGTGAAAAAAAAAAAAATGATGATTTTTTTTTCCATTGTGGAAGAAAGAAGTTATACCTAGATAAGAAAGTAAAGAAAGATTTTAAGAAAGAGAGAAAAAAAACAAATAACAGTTTTGGTTGTTTTTTTTCTTGGTTGTTTTTGTTTTCAAATTTATCATCAAAAATTTGATTCTGGTATACCCACTTGACAAATCGAAGTTGTCATTAATGACTAAAACCACTGAATTAAAAATATAAATTAAACCTAAGAGTGAGGAAAAAAAAATTACAAAGTTGTTCTTAAACCAGTATTTTGTTGAAAGCACATTTCCTTGTCTATTATTCAAGGTGCTTTTTCGACTGGGTCAAATTGGGGAAAAAAAAAGAGTAGACGTGTTGTTAAAGTGTGAAGTAATGACAGCCTTAGCTGTGTTTACATTGCGGCCTAGATGCAATGATTGTGAGAGGCGTGAGAGTTAAACTGTAAAAAATAAAATTAAACCTAAGCTTACACCCTTATTTGTTATAAAAATTATACAAAATTTCTTTTATAATATTTACACTAACAAAGGTTTTATTTTCCGTCACATTCCTTGATTTTCCTTAAGTTTAAGCTTATCTATTGTTTAAAAACTTTTACTAAAAAGTAAATGTAGTTGTCTAATTCATAATGGATGAATGGTAAAACTTGTGTCTTTTACACCAAAAGATAGTTACATTGTAAATGCTATATATAGAGAGTCTTTAGTAGAATATTGCCACCCGCACCATCAGTTTACAACAGTTTTCATGTCAGTCAAAAATAAATCTGTGGGTAACTACGATGGCCCATCACGCTACCGATAAATTTTTCTGTTTCTTTCAATTATAAAAGTTATTCAATATAAAATAATATTAAATGATATTTTCCACAATTCTATTCACGATATACTATTATGTATGGCGCATTGCATGAATTGAACCGAACTTTACTTTCCCATAATATTTTAGTTTCAGCATTTATGTTGCCTTATTCCAAAATACTTCATAAGGAAGCTCTTCCTATGCATGGATTGTGTTTTAAATGTTCTGTAGATTTTAAAGTAAAATCACAGTAAATGATTATAATGTCTTATGCATTTTGATTTTTTAGATCTTTGGACAAGAATTTCGAACTAACTAAACCGGCTTGTGTATGCTCTTGAATAACAATTGATGTTTGCTTATTGTAGTTCATAAAGCCCTCAAGAGTATTTAAATTATTTGATTATTTTTGAATTGTAATTATCGATTTTAAAAATAAAACCCTCGATAAGTTTGGTTTAAGGAGCCAATAATTACTTGAAAACTTGATATTTCTCAAAACCGAAATCAATTGAAATATAGAAATCTTTTTAAATATTTTTATTTAATTACACATGTCTACCTTATCTCTGTCCCTCACTTATACATTAAAATTTATTTTTTTAATGAAAGTTTTAAATTAGTGTTTTAGATTATAATCTATCCATATTATGTACATACATACATTCGCTGATCTTTATCTTATGCATATACTCATTATTATCGTAAATTTTTATTAGGTGATTCGGTACTTGTTTAATAAAAAGAAGAGCAAAAAAAAATTATTAAACAAAAATTTGCTTCGCATTCACCAACCAAAAATTCAAAATACATAATAAACACAACCACACAATACAAATACCTACTTCATAAAATTTTATGTATTAGAAGATATACAACAGATACGTGCGTATGTGTGTAAGTAAATGCAATAAAATTTTTTTAAGCATACTCGTAAACAATATTAAAATATTTTTCAATGTTTGTACACTATATATACCTACACTAGTATACATGCATATAGTGTATTATATAATAATAAATTTTTGGTACATGTATTATTTCTTAAATATACGAGAAAAAATCAATCAAATCTTTTAAAGATTTACAAAATTATTCAAAATTTAATACAATTATGCGAAATTGATTTTTACTATAAATTCAACTAACAGAATTTATTTTGACGTATTCAACAAACAGTTCTCATTGTGATAACTACAATTTTTTTTTTCTTAGTTAAAATTTAAAATTAAAAATAAAAAAATAATCAAAATGAAATACGCTATTGTATTTGCTGCTCTCTTTGCTGTTGCTTTAGCTGCTCCACTCGATGATCCAGCTAATGCTCAAGTACTCCGTTATGACAATGATAACATTGGTGTTGATGGATACAATTTCGCGTAAGTTTTTATTAAAAAATTTAATTTAAGGAAATTTTATTTTAATCAATCAATCAATTAATTTGAAATTTTTAAAATTCGTTCATACAGAGTTGAAACCAGTGATGGTAAATCACATCAAGAAAGTGGTAAAGTTAAAAATTTAGGACCAGATGATACACCAATCACAGTTACCGGATCATTCAGATATACTGGTGATGATGGTCAAGTATATGAAGTAACATATACTGCTGATGAAAATGGTTTCCAACCATCCGGTGCTCATATTCCACAAGCTTAAATAATTTTTTAAAATAGTTTTCTAGTCAAAAAAAAATTTGAAAAAAAAAAAATAAACAAAAAATGAGAAAAAAAATAAAAAATAAATAAAAATAAAAGAAAATCTGTTTTAAAAATTTTTCAAAAAAAAAAAAAAAAATTGTTTTTTTTTTTTTTTTTTTTAACATCTTAAAAACAATTTCTAAACATTTTGTATAAAAACAACAACCAAAACAACAAAAGAACAAGCACAACAAACAAGAAACCAGATTGAAAAAAAAAACACTGGTAACACTGCCAATATTTACTTATAATATTCACAATTTTTTATATTTTTTTTTATTAATTAACTGTTATACGAATAATAATAACAAGTGTGCGCCTAAATTTTATACTCGTAATATTTTTGTCTCTCTCTTTTAAATTCTATTGCTTTTCTTAAATTCTATTTTTTTTTTATAATTTTGTAAATTTGTAAATATTCTTATTGTTTTTGTATATAAAAGCAAAAAAAAATGTATGTATAATTGAAAAAAAAAACTGTTATACAAAATAAAAAATTTTTTTTTTAATTATTTAAAAAAATTTCAAATTTTTTTTTTTATTTTTGTAAATAATAAGAAAAGAAATTTTTGTAATGTAAATGATGATGACAAGCTCTAACTATTAAAAAACAAAACAAAAAAAAAAAAATCAAAATTAAAGTTTTTATTTCTCTTTTAACAATATTAATTTCGAAATCTTTCTCTTAAAAATGTCAAAATGTCTTTGCCAAAGAATTTACCGTTAAGATCTAATGACATTTTAATGACTTGCATGACATATTTTATTGCTTTTTTGATGACATATTTTATACTTTGGGTAATTATTATTTCAAAATATGCAATTAAATTAAAATTTTAAATTTTAATTAATTAATTTCAGTTTTATATTGTTTTTTTAAATTTATTTTTAACCTACTAAAATAATCATAAATTTTAAAATTTTATTTGTTTTGTTTTATAATGTCAATTATATATTACAACACACTATACGAGTATATTACTATGGGGCAACGCCAAGTGTGAATTTATTAATCTTCATCATCATTTTTTTGAATAAAGTCAAGGTTAAAAAATTATTAAACACAAAATTTTTTTTGGTCAAATATGTAGGCAATAATAATATGCAGTCTGTATGCCTAATATATATGTGTGTTTGTATGTATTCCAAATTAAAATATTAAAATAATAAAAATCTCAATCGATAATTTAATTAGAGAGTCTTATGTTTTGTTTTTTGATTTTGTATATCATTTTATTTATTTAATTCGTGCTTATAGTTAAAATTTTTGATTCAAAGAAAGAGGTATGACTATTGCTTTAATTTAGTATATAATGCGATTATACTGCTTATAATATAATTTAAGAGAAATTGGAACACAAAAAAAAATTAACAAGAATAAAACTGTAGGATTGAAAATATTTTGATTTCTGAAAGAATAATTTGTTCTTTTAAACGGTTTAATATACAAAATGCTAATTTCTATATAAGGTAAGAAACGTTTTAAACATTCATATTATTGTTGGTCGAGTTCTATAATTTTATTTTGAAATGAGCCCAAGGGTATCGATATCGACCACAATAAAATTTACTACTGTGGATAAGACGTAAATCTAATATGAGATTTCGTTATGTAGTTCTTAAATTTTACTTACAGAGGAATAGATAGCATAAGAGGACAAAAAACTGACTGGACGTGGAAACAACCGTTGAAATAACGGCCGTACATGTTATTTTTGGGACTTACGAAAAGCAGCATTTTTACATATTTGTTATATAAAACAAGATGATGTAGGTAGGTAAGCTTGATGAATCATAGAGCCTCGGAGAAAATGTAATCTATTTTTTAGAAATTTTTTTTCTAATTTAGTAAATAATACAAAGTGTAGAAGCCGCAAAACGAAAGAGTATGCGGAAGTTATACGAATTGCCTTTTTTCACAGATTTAGAACAGTTGGTAAGATACTAACACTAAAAATTTTTTCATAATTATTAATTTAACGTTATTATTAACAGTGGGCTTTCAAGCGTCACCCCACTGTACTTTTTCGAGTTTTAACATTACTTGAAGGGGGGGGGCATGTGTTCCAATAAAGAAATCAATAGGTAATCTGATAAATTAATATTAATGAAGATATTAACCTTTAATTTAATAATTTCTTTAACATTTTATTGATTTTATGTAGTGTTTACACTATAAATTCATAAATAGGGTAAATTATAATACATTTTATTATAGTTATTTTCAATATTAAGAAATAAAATAATAAAAATTTAATATTTTCATATTTTATTTATATATCAAATTATTAAGATTCAAAAAACCTTGCAAATTTTTTAAATCAATATTTATAAGAATGGGAGAGAATTGAAATCAAGCATCAAAATAAATCGAAATTGATCAGAGCAAACTGATCTTTATTATTATTTTTTTTATTTATTTAGATATACCAAATATAAACAATTAGTTTAGTGCTGTTACTCTTTTAAACTGTATAGGCGCGATTACAAAAATCCAAAAAAAACCAATTTACATAAGCGCGACTAACTAAAATTTTTTTGGAATTTTTACTTAATGGATTTTGAATGTATGCAATTCACGATTTTTTTTTAGTCAATATAAAATTAACATAAAATTTATTTAAATTTTGTTAAAGATTTATGTAAATTAAAATTTTTTATAATTTCTTCATGCTTATTGATGATTTCGTTTTGAATACTCTGTGCTAAATTTTGATTATCTCTTATACATATTTTATGACATTTATTATACGTGTATGTCATTATAAAACTGTAAACATTATCGAATACGATTTTTTTTTTAATTGTGTATTATGAAATTTAATTAAATTTTTTATTTGAACATATTAAAAAAAATTAATGTGAAATTAATTAGAGAGAAAATGATGAAAAAAATTGAATTGTGTGGGTGCAATGCTCTCTGGTGCGGTATTTTCAGGAGCGGTAAATTAGTGCACTTGACTCTTCACTCTATGTATAGTGTTTATTAATTCAAGAGCGCGGTAATTTAAAAGAACTTTTAATAGAATGAGAATTTTTAAATGGTGCCACCGAATCATAAAAATAAAAATTAAAAATAAAAGTGTGATAAATTTTTAGATTTGGTCATTTCGGCCATAGTATCAATAAGATAAGTGCTTTAATACAAGGTTCTTATACAAATTTTATGTGGATTCCTCCAATATTTTAATCTTTCTTCAATTTTCTTTTTGTTATTGTTGTTTAATTCATATACATTTAATAATAACGAGTATATTATACAAGTTGGTCGATCGAGTTCATTCAATTTGCTTTATTGAATTTTTGTTGTTTTTGTTTCCTTGTTTGAAATGATTCTAGTAATAAAGCCTGGCACAATTCATTTTCAATTTATTGTAATGAATTTGTAATTGTATATTGTGTGTATGGGTAATATTATTTAATATATAAACACGCGTACATGTATAAGCTGATTTATCTATTATAAGTGTGTATGTATATATTTTATATTTATATATGTATGTAATTTAATCAGGATAGATGCAAGAGCTAGAATATTTTTTTCGATTTTGTTGAATCATTTAGTAGAAAAAACGAAAACAACTGTATTGGTATGTTCCACTTTTAAAAAGAGAAAATGAAAAATGCAAACAAAAAAGAAGGATAGAAAGAGAAAAAGCATGAGGACAACTAAATTTTACTGTCAATTGCAGTACATTTGACATTTTCTTATACGGTGGTTTTTCATTATTATTTTTGTTGTTGTCCTATTCTTTTACAACAAAAGTGGCAGATATTATTATTATTATTTTTTTTTTGATTAAATGAAGTTAAACGTAGAAAAGAGAAAATGTGAGAAGAAAACAAATATAAATAGGAAAAAAAAAAGAAAAATGATCAACAATAATTTGATGAAATTGAATTTTTCTCTTCATATTTTTCTTCCTATTTCTATAGTGATTAGTGTATAGTATTGTGTAGAAGACACTAAGAGAATATTATAGTGTGAATGAGACAGAGAGTGGGAGAAGATGACAAAAGTGTCATAGAAATAAATGAAATGAAATTGTGTGGAAAGGTTTTTTAAATGAAGTGAAATTATTCGAATTATGTATAGGTACTGGGGTTTTTTTTTTTTCTTTGTTTTGCATTAAAACGGAATACATAAAGAGAATAAATTGAACATCGATTTTCTATTCTTTAAAATAATCGTTTTATATGAAAATTATTATAAAAAGAAAATTATTTTAAATTTATAATGAATAGAGAAAAAAATGAGAATTTTAATAGCTGAATTGAGAATTCTGGGAAATTCCCAGAATAAATTTAATACCAACTATTTTGGATTAAAAAGAAAAATTTGCTTAAAAATCAAGACCGAGGAGCTATTCTTAGGGAAAGTAGTGTAAAATAAGGCTTTTATTTTATACCAAAAAAATTTTTTCAGAATGATTTTAAAATATAATTAAAAGCAAAATAATTGCATAATTTTAGGCAAATTAAAAATATTAGTGCTATGAGTTTAATTAAACTTTAATGTAAAGCTTTGAAGCTCCTATATACGTGGAATTTTCTTCACCAAAAACTTCTAGATGCGAATTTAGAAATTTAGAGACTTTTTGTGTAAGTAGATATTCTACATAATCAGAGCACCAGCGAACAATAATTAGAAAATAGAAATGCATTAAACAAAAAAAAGAGATTTATTTAAGAACTTAATGAAAAACTTTTAAAATTGTTAGAAATAAGCAAAATAAAAGGACGATTTGAGTGCATTGTACTCCTACAAAATGTTGGAATACAATTATAGTAAAAATAAACCTACTCCTTAACTCTTATCCATCTTGTACATGTCTCATTAAAATTATTCATTGAAATTTTAAATGATTTCCCCTTAATTCATCCTATTATACGCAAATAATTCGAAATTATTTGAATTGAAAACGTGCTCGTTTGTTTGTAAAAGGCTTACTTACGAAT